TCGAATGTTTCAAACTGCCAGTCGCATCATTCTGTGAGTTCCATCCATATATTACAGGGTTTGGCTCTCTCGAATTCTTCGCGAGAAAAATTATGAACTGGAAATGTCTAGCGTAGTTCTAGAAAAACTACTTCCAGAATCCTAACTCAGCATCGTAAAGAATATAAAAAGTTTCTAGAGATAAGGTTAGTGCAGGAGTTGAATAAACTAAATACTTAGTTTTGCGAAACCATCTTGCCGTAGTAAACGTATAAAGTTCCCCTAGGTAGAGCTAGTCATTACGGATGATTGTGCCCATTGCATACCATAAAAATTTAATTTGCGACCTACAATTTTTACAGACTCAACCAACTCTGAATAAGTGGAACACTTGGCACTAAAGATTGGTCTCACCATGACTGTCTGCAAACATCCACATAATAATTTCCATAAACCTATGCATTTCAAGAAAATATTTGGAGCGAGCTGTTTAAACTGCCATAACATTTTTTAACACTAATAGAAAGGCTGTAGTGGGCCACAACTTAAGCAGTTTTTACTTCATTATGAAGGGCAATAACAAATATGTGAAGCTTAAAACTAGGCCTGCACTGAATAGCTTTCTTAAGTTGAACGTGCTATGCTCGGTTCAATATATTATCTTTGCAGAGCTGACAATGTGCAAGTTCCCATTTTTTTTATACTTCACATCTCCCGACTGCTGGGTGGGGTAGGTACATAAGATTAATGACACCAACGTAACACAATGATTATTTTAAGAATTTGTTTGTGTATGGCACTAGCGAAGCCATCTGCGGGAAGTTATTTCTGTGACTCCGTCGAACCTACATCCGTGGGCTTTAAGTTCACATGTGAATCTGTCTGCAGACGCCTTTTTGTAATTGGAACTCCATACAACCCGAGATTTGAATGTTTTTTTGCATTTTAGGCTTAGTAGTGCTTTTGCTGTTTCACTTAAGAATAGGTAAGAATTCTTATTTCGAGTAGCATACCTAACAATTGGTGGCATGAGGACTCCCTTGTTGTGATGCTAATCGAAAGTCACAGGCAGGGAGACACTGTGATGCTCTTGTTGCTGGGATTACCTCCCCCATGGTCCTGGCCGGACCACAGAAGAAGATTGAGTCCAAGCTTGTGGCCACTGGGATCTCCAGATCTTGAGGCAACCAAGTAGCTGGAAATAAAAACAAATCGCAATCAAGTACTTGGCAGAGCTACATTAGAATGGCTAGCATATTCTTTCGTGATCAGCACATAGATCCTTTTCTTTTTATACTTTGTACTTGTACCTATTAAAAAACTGCTCCTTCACAGCCACAGTCATAGACACATCCCAGGACAAGGCCACACAGGCCTTGAAATGATGGGTACCGAATTAAGGCGAATGATCAAATGCATTCATTTAACCCTCTTTCACCCCAACCTGGGAGATTTCTGTCAAATATTCACATTTAACTCTAAAGACTATAAAAAAAACTACTACTACTGCAATGCAGAGCCGTATAGTGGGAGAGTTTAACCAGTGGGTGTGGTGACAAAGGTGCCGGAGAGGAGGAAAGGGAGGAGAGCGCCGAAGGAGGGAGAGAGAAGGCAGCAAAAAGGAGACGACCGCTATTTTGACGCAATGCTGTTGGCGCGGAGCACTGTTGAGGCTATGTGTCGTCTGCTACTGGCTTAATTGATTTTTGCCTTTATAAAACTTTGCGTTTAAACATGAAGAAACTTCTTTCTTTAGGTTTTTAAGCCACCGAGGAATAACACTATATTATTTTATTGCCAAAGCCTGCCAAATAAAAGGAAAGGGCAGGTGTCTGGATAGAAAGAGTTTAGTTGGCGCACCAAAAGGCTAACCAATAAAAATGGGTAGCACTCTGCGCAAAGTGCCTAAAAAGCGTGCATCTCTACTTGACACTAACAGCGGCACACACTATCTATTTTACTGACTAAAGGGTACTAGATCATTATTTTCAGCTAACTAGTCAAACTAGATATTCTTGCCGACTTGCACATCTGTCCAAAGTGGGGTGAAAAGCAGAAGCACGTGCTGGAGGACGCCCAGCCATTCTCTTTTTGTCATCGGCTATTCTTCATATCTTAGTATGACATATTTTTAAGTGAGAAAAAGTATTGCAAATATGCAGTCCAACTTTGACCATAATACAGAAGTCTGATAAAGATAACAGTTGCCATTCACCATTTTCCAAATAAGTGCTCCCACCTATCGGAACATCTACACATGTGGTGCGTGAGTGGGTTCAGGACTGAGACGCTAGAAAACGAAGCGCTCACAAGGCTTGTCTGGCCCTTCCAACCATGCGGGTACATTCATCGCAAATCCCAGATTTTTAGACAAAATGATTTAGAATAAGCAAATCTTGTCTACGCCCGAGGTAGAACATTAAATTGTGATTCCCCCATATTGTGCCAACCATCCTTCAATCTGCGGTACCTCCTGCAAATGAACTATGTTGTGCTGCGGCACGCATCCATGCTGCCTGCTTGAGAAGAAAACCACTGCTCGTGTTGAAGACGACATCCCACAATGCATGGCCGTACCCAGAAAAAAATTTCGGGGGGGGGGGGGTTTCGGGGACAACGGCGGCCATTTTGAAAATGTCTATTGTCTTATTTTCGCCTACGAATCATGTGCATCCGTGGCATATAATGAAGACTTATAGCAAACCGAAGAACCTGTCCCGGTTTGGTACCCGGTAGCCGACCGGTGCCACTGGTGGAGATTAAAATCGGCTGGCTGCAAGTGCACCGACCAGGGCCGTACCCAGAAAAAACTTTCGGGGGGGGGGGGGGGGTCAGAACCCCCTAACCCCCCCCCCCCCTGGTTACGGCCCTGCCACAATGTACACGCAACAATGTTTAACGAACTAAAACAAAATTGATATCATTCAATAGACACAGATAGGCTTGCAAAGTGTCGACACCATGATTGTTGTTGTTGGTTTTACTCCTGCATACAAACATAAGTGACTTCCTCTTTCCTCCGATGTACAGTAAAACCCCCTTATCTTGGTGGACCCTATTTCTTCTCGAATCGGTCACAGAGGACATAATAGCAGCCACTGAATTCTGCAGAATTAAAGGCTGCGAAAATTAAAGGTTCGCCAACATTAAAGAGTTTACTGTTCTTCCGTGTGTCACATGATGTTAACATTTCAAGGAGGCTGAAGATATTGGTTTAAGAAAAAATTGGCCTATGAAAAAAAATGCCCTTCTCCAGGTTAGGCACGCGAGGTTCTTTTGCACTACCTATAAGGCGGCAAGTTTTTTTCGGCAGAGCTTTTGGTTAAACGGAGTCACAAAAGTAGCCATACTTGGAGGCAACTATATTGTGCTGCATTATAAAGCTAGAGTAAATTCCACTGTGTTTCTGCACAGCACAGTGTTGCACCCCATTTGCATGATCTAGAGAAACTAGCGCTAACAGAGTTGGAGCACTCGAAAAAAAAAAAAAAAAAAAAAAACAGCCGACTGTGGAAACATTGAGAGATGCACACATGCGAACTGTGCATTTCTTAAAAGTGGATTCGAGCAAAGGTAAAGACAATATGTATACTTACGGCAGCCATACTTGCCTTTCCCAAGCATGACCACTTTTCCCTCGGTAGCACCATCCAGTAAGCACCAGCAACACGCACACGAGACGCCGCCGACTCATGGATTGAATGACGACCCGCCTGAGGTCTTGGAAGGAGATCCGGAACACTGCTTTAGGCCAGATGTTGTATCTGGAGGGGGCAGGGACTAAAAGTAAAAATTAACAACTTTATCTGAAGCGCTACATTCCTATAGCATGAACTCTAGGATAGCACTATTTTTTTTTTTTAAGTCAGTGATGCATTTTAATTAAACACAAATGGTTGGTTTATATGATGAACCAGCAGCCCCTATTTTCCTTAAGTGTAACGGAGTGTCTAGCGTTACGTCCGACGGAACCCGAAATAAAAATTAAAGTTACGCCCAACGTAACTGTCAAGCGTTCGAGTTGCGTCCGACGGAACCCAAAATAAAAATTAAAGTTATTTACTCGAAAATAGGTCGAAACCTATTTATTGAATCCAACGAGAATAAAAAAAAAAATTCAAATACAGGTCGACCTTTTTTTTTATTTTTAAGAACAGGGGAAATTTTGGGCAAAAGAAAGAAACAAACCTTTATTTACATCACTCAGCTAAATCACGGTGCGATGCCAAAAACTTTATCACCGTCAGAACTTCTGGACATGTCATCGTCGTCCGAAGCTTCGTCAGCTGGGTAGACATCCTCGCAAATTCGCAGCAATACTTCACTGACACCGTTGTAAAATGACGACAAGAAACGAAAAAAGGTGCGAAGCGACGGAAGACAAACTACAAAGACGCAAGCAAAGCCGCCGTGTCGCCAAGAGCAACACGCGAGCCGAGCCGCCTCAAGCAACTAACAAAAATAACATCTTTTTTTTTTTGTGCGCGTTTGCGAGGATGGAGGGTAAAGTGCATGGCGCATCGCGTTCCTCTCCTTCCCCGTTGCCCAGCAAGGGGAACGCTAGAGGCGCGATGTCGAAATCCGACGCCCGAGGAGCGGCACCGGCAAACGCGGGCGGCGAGCCATTTCGGTTACCAAAAGTGTTATGTCTGCGGTGCAAGGAGTGGCCAGACGAAGGAAGGACTGCGAAACAGCTTTATTTCCGCAGAGGCCGGCAGCGATCTGGCTGCGCGTATGACGGTGCTCTTCTTATAGAGCGCCCGGTGACGTCAGTACTACGCGTACTGCTGATAGCAACGGCAGCGGCCTCTAGCACTTCCTCCACCGCAATTTGGAACGTCATGAGGCTTCATAGCGATCGGGGGGTCTTCTCTGGCGTTGTGGGTATCGCCGAGGCGCAGCGTTAGTGGGGGTGACGGGCACCGTTTGTCTTGCGGAGACAGTAGACGGAGGTGGTACGTCGGCTTCAGACGCAGGATAGATGGTGTCGGTATCGTCCTCCCCCACAAGGGACGGCGCTGTCACTGCAGTAGACGCTGAGCGCAGGTGGTCCTTGTGTCGCCTCCAAGTACGGAGTCCATCCGGTGTCCGCACCTTGACCACGTAGGACACTGGTCCCGTCCGCTGCAGTACTGTCGCGTGGAACCATGTGGGGCCGCTCCTGAAATTACGCACGAACACTTCATCGTTCACTTCGAACACACTGTTAGCACCCCTGCGCCGTGAAGACTGTTCAAACTGACGTGCTCGGATAGTACGATCCAGAGCCGGCTTCAGTGCATCCAACCGTGTTCGTGGCCGACGACCCAAAAAAAGAAAAGATGGGGTTTCTTGAGTCGTCGCATGCGGAGTGTTGCGATATGTCATTAAGAACTTTGACAAGGTTTCCTCCATACTTTCAGTTGCAGGGCCTTTTCGTAGTGCGTTCTTTAGGGTTTGCACAAATCTCTCTGCGAGTCCATTGCTGCTGGGGTGATATGCAGAAGTGAGAACCTGTCGAACTGCCTGTTCTTTAAGGAACTCTTTAAACTCGGACGATGTAAACTGCGCACCGTTATCACTAACCAGAGCTTCTGGTGCCCCATACCGAGCGAATAAATCGCGCAGTTTTGTTATCGTCGCTTCTGCGGTGGTAAACGTCATGACAAAAACCTCCGGCCATTTAGAATGCGCGTCTACAATGACTAGTAGCATACGACCGCGAAGAGGGCCCGGAAAATCTGCATGTACCCGTGACCACGGTTGTGTCGGCCATGACCAAGGGTGCAATGGTGCCTTTTCTGGCATGTGGCGCTGCTGTTGGCATGCCGTGCAGTGTCTCACTTGGTTCTCCAAGTCCGTTTCCAAGGAGGGCCACCATACGTAGCTTCGGGCGAGTGCTTTGCTCCGAACTATTCCTGGATGTCCCTGGTGTAGCTCCTCCAGGACCAGCTGTTGAAGTTTCGGGGGCACGACGACTCTCATTCCATGCATCAGGCACCGCTCGTGGACTGTGAGTTCCCTGCGTCTGTCAAAATAGGGCTTCAACACTTTATCATCAAGATGTGATGGCCATCCCTTCTTGGTGAAGTCTACGACCAAGCTGAGGACGGGATCACGCTCTGTATGACGCGCGATGTCCCTACTGGTGACTGGTAGAGATGCCAATCGCAGCGTATAAAACGTCTCGTCGTGACTGTCGTCTACTTCTGTGAACTGCAACGGAAGTCGTGAAAAACAGTCCGCGTCCGCGTTCTCTGCGGACGTCCTGTAGGCAAGTTTATACTTGTAGGCTGACAGAGTTACCGCCCACCTCTGCAGTCTTGCGGCGGCTATTGCCGGGATCCCACTCTTTGGCCCAAGGATCGCTTGCAAAGGTTTATGATCAGTAATCAACGTAAACTCCCGACCATAAATGTAGAAGTGGAATTTCTTGACGCCAAAGATTAGGGCGAGCGCCTCCTTTTCAATCTGGCTATAGTTTTCCTCAGCCTTTGATAATGTTCGGGAAGCGTAGGCAATTGGCCTTACCGTGCCATCTTTCATGACGTGCGACAGCACAGCGCCGAGACCATACGCAGACGCATCGCAGGATAGCTGCAGCGGGCGTGCCGGGTCGTAGTGTGCCAGCACCTCCGTCGAAGACAAGATTTCCTTGATGGCTTGGAAGGCATCTTGACATTTCCGATTCCAGCACCAGGGAGCATCCTTCTGTAGTAACCTGTAGAACGGCTTTGCCAGCGTTGCTAGCCGTGGCGTGAATTTTCCATAGTAATTTATCAGTCCAAGCAGTGAACGCAACTGTGCGATGTTAGTAGGCGCTGGGGCATGCAGCAACGCTTGAACTTTTTCCTCGCTTGGCTTGACGCCGGTTTCGTTGATAATGTGCCCCAGATACTGCAGGCTTTCTTTGAAAAATTCACATTTTTCACGCTTGACGCGAACACCTTTCTGCTGAAGTGTACAAAACACGGCTTCAATGTTCCTGAGGTGTTCTTCAGCGGTTGCTCCCGTGACGAGAATATCGTCAAGGTAGCATATGACACCCGGTAGTCCTTTAAGTATGTTGTCCATAATGCGCTGGAACAACGCGGGCGCAGACGCTACTGCGAAAGGGAGTCTGTTCACCGCAAAAAGCCCTTTGTGCGTGTTTAGTGTGAGAAGTTTTTTTGAGTCCTCCGACATCTCTACCTGCTGGTATGCCCTGCTAAGATCTAGCTTGGAAAAGTGTTTGCCTCCGGCGAGCGCAGCTAGTATTTCCTCAAGTTTGGGCAGGGGGTACTGCTCCGTGTCTAGGACAGGGGTCAACGTTGTTTTGTAATCCCCGCACACACGTATGGTGCCGTCCTTTTTAACTACCGGTACAATAGGCGTAGCAAACTCACTGGTTGACACTTGCGTAATGACGCCCATTTGTTCAAGCTTTTGCAACTCTTCCTCTACGGCCGACCGGAGTGCGTAAGGCACGTTTCTTGCTTTGAGGAACTTCGGACGTTGCTCTTTCAAAAATAAAGTGGCTCGCTCACCTTCTATCTTGCCAAGGGTGCCGTCGAAGATGCGGCTGTACTTGGCTTGAAGTTCTTTTAGGCGTGCCTCGTACTTCTTGCTTGCATCAGACCGATGAGGGTCCGACAGCTTGTGTACGCCGCAGATGTTGTCCCAGTCCAGACGAAGACGTGTGAGCCACTCGCGGCCCAAAAGAGGCGGGCCATTGTGGTCAACTACGTAGAGGGGTAGAACGTCCTCTTGACCCTTGTATCTTACGGACGCTTTGACGAAACCGCAGGGTTGCACGACTTCCCCGGTGTAAGTCTTGAGGCGTAGCTCGGTGGGTTCAAGCTTCAAAGGAGGCTGAAATTTCTTGAACTGCTGCTTCGGTATTATGGACACCGTGGCTCCCGTGTCCAATTCCATGCTCAAGGAAGTTCCTTGAACTTCCACGTCGACGGTGATGGGTCGCCGGCTTTGCGGTGACAGCATCTTGACGTTGAATGTGTCGTCGCTTTGAAGAGTCCGGACCCACTTCTTTCCGCCAAGTCTTCTTCTTGGCACTCCGACATGCACGGTGAACGTGACCCTTCTTGCCGCAATACATGCACTTATCTGCAATGTGCGGACACGCCCGGGCGAAATGCTTATCAGAGCCACAGCGATAACACTCGAACGACTGTTTCCTTTTCGCGGAATCTTCGGTACTCATCTTGTGCAAGTCATCGCTCCTTTCTTTTGCGTGCGCCTCCTGAACATTTTTTTTAGCTTCTAACGCGAGTGCGCGTTCAACGGCTTTTTGAAATGTCAACGTTTTATCTTCTGCAAACAAATACCGCTGTATGTCCGCGCGGAACAAACCGCACACGAACCGATCTCTCAGCGACTCATCTAGGAAACCGCCAAATTCACAGGTTTGAGAGAGCTTCCTGAGCTCCGCTATATATTGTGCGATACTCTCGTCTTCCAACTGACTACGGCGATGGAATTTCGCTCGTTCTCCAATCACTGATACTCTCGGTGACAGCTGGTTTCGCAGCAATTGGGTTAGTTGCTCTAGCGTGTTTTCTGACGGTTTGGCAGGTGCCGTCAAAGACTTCAAGAGACTGTACGTTTTAGGCCCAATAACGCTTAAAAAAGCATGCACCTTGAGGTCATCAGGTATTTTGTTGATCAGAAAAAGGACGTCAACCTTTCTTCATAAGACTGCCAGTCACTCACAGTTTCATCGAAGGCTTCTACTTGGCCGATATGACTGGAGGATGCCATCTTGAGAAACTTGCTGTCGCCGAGTACCCAGCGGCGTGCGGTGATGTTTCGCTGTCTGTTTGGACGCACCTTCAAGGCTTCTCACCTTCGTCTTGGCTTTGTTGATCCCATCCTCGTCGCCAGTTGTTATGTCTGCGGTGCAAGGAGTGGCCAGACGAAGGAAGGACTGCGAAACAGCTTTATTTCCGCAGAGGCCGGCAGCGATCTGGCTGCGCGTATGACGGTTCTCTTCTTATAGAGCGCCCGGTGACGTCAGTACTACGCGTACTGCTGATAGCAACGGCAGCGGCCTCTAGCAAAAAGCTTTTCGAAACAAGAAGCGGCGCGGCTCTACGGTAACGCCGGCTCGGTGACTCGATAGCTTCATGCCTCCGGTAGGGTCGCAAAATTTGGTCGCGAATGTAGGTGTCGAAATTCTTTATTCACAATTTCCGGAAAAAAAAAAAAAAAAGGTCGACTTATTTTTTAATACACACGGTAGTCAACCGCGCGCCGAGACACACATTATGAAAGCGATTGGTGCGAGCGACCAAGGCGATGAGCGACGTTTCCTAGAAGCCCAAGAACCGAGCGCCGCAAGCAGCGAGAGTGAGAAACCTTCGTCGCTCGGCGCCGGCACTCGTAGCTTCTCGCCGTCGCTCGTCTCGTTGATCGCTATATTGCTTACATGCCGTTCAGAAAGGCGCTCTAAGTGCTTACCATTGCATTGGGACCAGCCTCGCATCCAACCGTAACCAGTCTTGACTTTCTTTAAAGCCGCACAGGTAGAAGTTAACATCGTACATACATCGTTTTCAAGCATGGCTCCTCGTTCATTGCTCGATTTACATTTTCGGTAAATGACAAAACGCAATGAAGCACAATTATTCTAGTTCAAAATTGTCACGAACACTTGGCACGCATGCTTACACTGTAGCGCACCAAACGCAATTTAAAAGTAGAACGAAAACGGGACGAGATTCGCTTACCGTTTCACGGAGACAGGCGACTTCGGATCCCAGGCCTAAAGAACTCGGAAGTCGCCGGCGGTCCGGAGATCGGACGAGGCGAGCCGACCCAGGCCGACCACACCTGGTTGAACTATGAGAGGCGCCGTCGAGTTTAGAACCAGAGACGCAGTAGAAACAAACCGCAAAACATCTGTCCCGTAACCGTAAACAAGCCAACGAACCACACCGCTCTACCTTCGCCATTGTTCGCCATCTCCGCGACGACCGGAAGTGGAAGGCGCGAAGTTAGAAAAGCCGCGGCAGCGGAAGCACCGAAGCCACTGGGCGGAAGCCTTACGTTTCGGTTTCGCTTTTCTCCAACGCCGGCTACGGTCGCTACGGTGGCGGGCTAATGAGTTTGTGGCTGGTTGCAAGGACGCTAGGGGCCACGAAAAGACGCCGAGTTTGCCGAGTACGAGCAACAAGCTGTTTGCCGCTGTCGACCGACGATGCGGTATGCGCGGCTTGGTGTTACGATCGGTTTGTTGCCGTGCACGTAAACTCAAAGCTCGAAGTTACGCAGTTCCGTTCCGGCACCAGCCGCACCACGTTTTCCGGTGCATCGCACGTGGAGGCCTTTCGACGCATTCAGTGAAAGTAAAGATCGTGTCCGCTGTCTTCGGTGCAGTGGAAGAAGTTGACAGACGGAAGAAGCATCAAAACCAAGGCGTTTAGGACTCCAGGCCGGGCCGCCGGTTCACTCTGAACGAAAGGCGACGTGTGTGCGCACGCTTTGAGGAAGCCTCCGCGTTTCGCCGCACCAGACCTCGCCGATCGCGACCAGACCAACCGGACCCCGAGTTCGAGAGGCTCTTGCGCAGCCAGGAACGGCACCAAAGTAGGAGCTGCTCGTTCTGCGCTACCATGCAGTGCTCTACAGTGCTCGGAGCTCTCGGTGTCATTCGTGCTTGCACTGAAGCCTTTGTGACCCCTTCGGACGCGCAAGTCGTACTTCGCAAAGGTTTGGACGGGGCCGCCCTCACCGAGCAGCTCCGCTATATTCCGCTTACTTATGATCGCAACAAAAGCTTGCGTTTGTTCTCGGAAAAAAAAATTGCGGGACCGCTCTCCGCGCCGCCGACGAGGTTGGCCGCCGCCATGTTCTCAGCTGTTCACTCGCTCCCGCAGCGAGCGCCTTGCGATTATCCTCCCCGTTCCAAAATGCGATGCGCTTTGCGCATTATGCCGTTTACATGACCGTATATTGAATGTGGCAAGTGGATTCAATGCGACTAAGTCGCATTCATGTAAACGCGGCTTATGTTCTTTTTCAACATGCATGGTGTATGTAACGATACCGGTGGTGAACGATGGACGTTTTTGTTGGAAGACGGCGGTCGTCTTTCTGCATGTATGATTTAGTTATACCGGTGGTCCTGTGGTATAAGCGTTTTGTTGGAAGGATGGCAGTCACCTACGTCATCGGACTCAAAATCATACCAGCCACACCGAATCATATCGGCAAGCAAACTGGCTGCCAGTATAGACAGACCCGGAGCCATAGCGGTCCAATATCTCCAGTTATGCAGAACGCCAAACCAAACTAGCTGCATACATAACAACAAAAAAATATTTTGTTGGTGTCATACCAGAACTGTACAAGCGACAGGTTTGTTTCTTGTACGTTTTTCCAATAGGGTTGTTTGGCGAATTAGGGCCAAGATAACCAAACTGTGGCCAAGGGAGATCAGGTTTGACACTACTTTGGCTTCTTCGGGCTTTTTAATTCCCTACACTGCCAGACGCAAGCCAAGTTTTGGCCCAGAACTCGGTGCTGCCTGGGTACGTATTCCATCATGCTGTTGGAATCGCACCGTTGCTTTCCAAGCTTCCAATTTAGACCGAGCTGAAACAAAGCAACACGCTCATTAACCGTTGAATAATCTGCAAGAGTTTGAGCAACAGTCCTGTGCCCCCATGGGGGGATTTACGCCTATGCTAAATAAATATGGCGGAAGCTTTTTTGGTGGAACTTTCACGGGCGGTTCTTTATAGATATGCAACTGAAACTTCACCGATTCTTCAGAGTGGTCTTCTAGTGATTCGATCGGTGTAATTCCCGTGAAGAGGGAGAGGCTTGAGTGATGCCTCGGATTTCAGTATAAAGAGATTGTACTGTAGCATGAATCGCCTTGATCCCATACAAAAATGGTCTATGGTTGGCTATAGAAAATCCTTTGTATGGCCGGCTATAGCAAATTGGCCCAATTAGCTATAGCCGCTGTCTATAGCTTTTCTTACGGTCTTCCCTGTGGTTCTCTATAGCTTTTTCAATGCAAATTTTGCTATCGAATCTTGTATGGTTTAATCTATGGGTATCTTTAGAAAGGATGCTATAGCCACCTATGGCTTTTCCTATGGTTGCTTTAGCCGCCTATTGCTCTTTGTATGGTCCGCTATAGCTCATTCTATAGTTCGTCCTATCGTTCTCTCTACCCATCGTGCTACAGCTGCCTATGGCATTTCCCATGGTTCCTTTCGCCGCCTGTAGCTTCTTGCATGGTGTGCTATAGAAATCTCTATGGCTTATTCTATGGATCTTTCTAGACACCGTGCCATAGCTGTCTATGGCCTTGTTTATGATTTATTTAGCTGCCTATTGCTCTCTGTATGGTTTGCTATAGCTTCTTCTATATCTCGTCTTATGAGTCTCTTTACCATCGTGCCATAGCTGCCTGTAGTTTTTCTTTTTACCGCAATCGTATGAAATGGGAAACAAAATATTTGTTGTCACTGGGCATCTTTAAAAAAACCTTGTAAGACTCCGGAACTTCATAGCCCCATTTAAAACAAATAGCTAACATTTCAACAAAACAACAAAAAAAAAATGCACTCACTCAGATGTTCGCAAAAGCACAGGTAAAGAAACAGACACAAGGTATTGTTTCCAAATCTCCTAGAAGTTTATTACACATTGCCCATTCTGTATACAGGCACACACTAAGCAATCTCTACTATGTGAAGAGGTACTACTGAGCTGTTATACAACTGAGAATATTGCAAAGCAAACAAGCACCAAAGGCAATTCCTGGGTAGTGTCTAGCCCCCCGGTAGCCAGCCGAATTCCCCTCTCCCCTTCCCTCCGAAATTCTAACGCCAGTCGCCACTCATTGGCGCTGCAATCAGTTCATCAAAAGACGTTTCAGCGAGATCGTTTCATCAACACGTGATGTTTATAAACAACTCAAAATATATTTTTTTTGTATTTATTTGTAATGAGTTGCCAAGACGTGGCGTGAACGCGTGGGCTGAGTCGGTGAGCACGCGCCTCAGGAATACA